AACAGCTAAAGCCAGGATTGGGAGTTCAAAGCCTGAAGGACGTGGATAATCACAGGATGTTATAAGAACTGCAGTTAGGAAGAAAGTGTGTGTCAGTTGCAGCGAGTGCTTTATAAACTCCAACAGAAATGAGCAGGGGGTTACAAGCAGAGAAACTGCCAGGGTTCAGTTTCCAGTAGAGCTGGGGATGTCAGGAACCAAGCTTACCACTGGAAGCTGCCCTCATTGCAGGGTTCTGGAAAGGTGGGGCTCAAAGTATTCTCTCCTTTCCCAAAAGGATGAGCCATTTACTACTAAGATGAAGATTAGAATGAGGAGTAGGGTTAGCTCTAGGGTTTGGAATGGTAGAACTTGAAGAACAGAAATTGCTGCTGGCAATATTGGAAGATATCTTATTTTCTATTCTACTGTGAGGCAGGTATCGATATGACCGATGAGCATGAAGATGCATATTATTTACTACATGCTGCTGCCCAAGAACATTAGGAGACTGAGGACAATAGGTGTTCATAACAAGGTAACAGTTAGGGCTAGGTTAGGAATCCAAATATTGAGGAACCTGTATTGTTACTGGATGCTGCACAGCCCTCAGTGATAGGAAAAGGGCTGATGTCAGTATGGGACAGTTATTTATGGTGGGATTCTTTTATTTTTTTTTATGTAGACAGGAGTCTCACAATTAAGTTAGGAATAGGGATAGACTTTGGAAATCTAAAGCCGAAAGAACGGAGTTGTTACTGAAGTTGCAAGAACTGTAGCGTCCTGGTATCAATAATGATCAACCCCTTCTATTCAGTGTGTGGGTTCTCTGGTTAGGAGTGTGGATACTGGATGAACTGCTTTTTTTTGCAAGGCCTGCAGAGCTAGGAAAGGTACTGATGTCAACAGTCACAAGTATCTTCACGTTCTGCTATAGGAACATGACCTTAGTTTTATCTTCAGATACTATAAGGGTGAGAGAGGAGATGAGGTTTAGCATTTAGGATTCAAAGAAGCAGACTGAGTTTGTTGTTGGATATACAGACATAAGAAAAGGCTGGTGGTCTTAGGAGCCTAGTCTGTTTGCTTCTGCTGTGAGGATGAATTCATGGGATACAAAAGGCCAGGGGGAATACAAAAAAGGGCTAGCAGCTGGTCAGGAACTGAAAGTTTGAGGAGCTGAGTTTATGGTCTGTTTTGATGAATTTTGGGGGCTTCATTATAGGTATAGGTATTGTTAAGGTAAAGTTTCAGAATCTGTTGTGTTCTGAGACAGATTTATTAACAAAGATGAACTTCCCATTGAATGAGGATGAGCACTAGCTCTAACACAAGCTAACACCTTACATTCCACTATAGAGCTAGTTCCCTTCATAGGCCTACTGTTAGGGAGCTACCCCATGAAAGCAAGGATATTGGCCACACTCATATTGGAGGTAAGATTAGGAAAGTTAAGACTACATCTGTGTCCCTCAATAAAATGAGGTCAAGGACCTCTCCCATGCCAAGCAGCACAGACTCTCCCCACCCACATTACATCGTACTTAGCTTAGGCCACAGTGTCACCCATGGCCTTTGAGAATATTTTTTTTTTCCTAGAGGCACTGAATACAAAATTTTGATTTAGTGCCTGTAACAATGCAAACTGGCAATAATGCATCAAACTGGTATTTTCATACCCTGAGGCTGAGATGGTGCAATGCATATCCTAGACTGCAACATAAGGAGTGGCTGCATTTTGAAGTGTTTGAGGGTGCAAGACCTGTTGCACTAAAGCTGGAGGACTATGGCAAGAGACAAATGGGTGTAGTTTCATCCATCCTGCCTAAGGGGAATCATCGTTTGCTGTTACTGCCTCCAAACCATGCCTGAGCTGTGGGTATTCAGACATAGACCAAAATCGTGCCAGGGAGTCACCACTAACAAAAGGGCAAAGTCCTCAGGTGCAGGGTTCAAACTCACTGGCCTGCTCTTGCAAAGCTTTCCAACCCGCCTGTCTCTTTTCAGTAGACCCCACTCTCAGTGCAGTGGTGAAAAGGACAGACCTCTTCCATTGTAAGATCCTTTGAAACAGGCTGAACTGAAAATTTCTGATTTGATGTAAGTTTGGCATTATGTGAGCTAAGAGGTCAGGTCTATAGTAATCAAAATAATACAAACAAGTCACACAGTGGTAAATGTCTTGTATAAGCTTATAACCAGAATGGAAGCTATAAATGTCAAGCAGTAATGTTTTGTGAAAAGGACTTTTAATAATAACATTTACCCTTATTTCTCCAAAAATTCCCTTTTTGCCAGGCACTTTCCTGGGACACAGGATGAGGAGAGATGCTGGTCACTGGAGGAAACTTGACTCTATGGTCCTTGTCCCAACAGAGCCCCATCCCCTCGTACTATGCATCTTCGGAAATGTTAATTGCTTACTTGTTAGGAGGGAATATAAAGGCCTGGAAGTTACTGGTTTATTCCACAGGAGAGATTTTTCGCTGCTGGTAGCAGTTAGTATGATTAGAGTACTTTCAAGGGTGTGTTTGTGCATGCTTCTCTAGCTGAGCCTTTGGGTTTGAAGAGAGCAATCTAGAGAGTAATATAAGCGCACACCCTGGGCTGCTCTCCCTCAGTAACCTGCATTCACCGATTTCCATATGGCATATCTTTATGGGCTATTCAGGGAAGCTGCAAGTAGCAGAAGTCAATCTGCAGAAGAAGATGAGGCTGAAACACCTCTGCTTTCAGGAACTCCTCCACAGGGTCCATGAGTAACTGAAGGTGTAGCTGATGGGAGGGGTATTAGGGGTCAAACACTTATTATGTGGCATAGTTCTCCAAAGAGCAAATCACCATTTTTTAACACATAAACATGCAGCGTGGCAGAAGAAAATCTTTTTTTCTCCTTTCTGGATGAAAAAAAAAAAAGGGAAGGATATTTGTATGGCCGTATATCATCACACAGAAATGGAAAGTACCAATTCTAAGCTGGTTTAAGTGTAAATATTAGATGGCACTGCCTTTCTTAGCATGTTGGCTACATTAATTTTTCATAGAATCACAGAATGGTTAGAGTTGGAAGGGACCTTAGAGATCATCGAGTTCCAGCCCCCAGGTTGCTCCAAGCCCCATCCAGCCTGGCCTTGAACCCCTCCAGGGATGGGGCAGCCACAGCTTCTACGGACAGCCTGTTCCAGTGTCTCCTCACCCTCACAGAAGAGAATTTCTTCCTAATATCTAATATAATTCTCCCCTCCGGGCAGTTAAAGGCAATTCTTAATTTCTTCGAGGCCACACAATATTCACCTCGGCACACCCACCCTGTGCTCAAACAGCACCCCTTACCGCTTCAGCCCCGCACCTCCGGGGGGTAGCCCGTTCCGCACCCACGCTTGCCACCAAGGCTCCCTCCTCCTCCTCCTCCTCCTCGTCCCTTCGAGGAAGGACGATCCCCACCTTTCCACACCCCCCCAGGACCGGGGCCCGGCCCCCTCCTGGGGCCGCGGGGCTGCTCCCCCGCGCCGCCGGGCGGGATGCGGGGCAGGTGAGCGGGAGCCGCCCGGGCCCCGG